AACAGGTGATGCGTATTTGCAGCATTCACCAACTTTCCTTCCGCGGTTAGAAACTTATTCATAACTCAAATATCACTTAGGCCACCTCAACCCGCGGACAGTTGGTGGGACGAACATCAAAGATCATGTCGAGGCAAATTTACCAAAATATCCGAACCTCCCAAGAAAGAATCAAAGAGTGTGAAGCGAAAACGCGACACGAATGATGTTGACTCTAACGCTAAACTTGACAGATGGTTTGGAAATAAAAAAAAGGTTTCATCTGAAAATAATCCTTTAAGCCAAGAGGAATCTGGTGTTATTGAAATAAATTCAGGTGACGAGGCTTCATCTTCCTCTGGAGTATCATCACAATTTGCTCAGTGTCCAATTTGCGGCAATAGTACTATCAAGAAATCAGAGATCAATGAACACGTGAACCTATGCATTTTGTTATCAGAGGCAGATGAGGAACTGAAGGAGCCGATCGTCTTGTAATTTCAAAGTTCATTCAGTCGTAGTATTGAATAATTTTGTATTTTTCTTTTCCAAATGTGAACATTTTGAATATCATCATTTTTTTTGGATTATATGAGCGAGGTTGTGGCATAATCATCCTTCAATGAAATAACTTCTCCATTTTCAGTGGCCAAGCTGAATTCTAAAACATGCCATCTTCCATCCTTTGAGGTACGAACTGAGTGAAATCGGACGGTACCTTTGCCTGTTCCGACGATTAAAGAAGCTTGATGATCAGAAAATTATGCAATAGATGAATTATGCAATAAAAATTTTTTTGCTCACCTTTGTCGCCTTTTACGGAATATTTAAAATCGACGACCCCTTTCAAATGGTTAATCGTACCTGAAATCCACGGATTTCTTGAAGAGAAATTAATATTTTCGCCCAGTAATTCTATCAATTTAGGGTGATGACGAATGTTGAATAAGCTCCCTTGTACTGTGCTGCTGTTTAGACGTTGGTAATTAAATGAGAGCGTGATGGTAACGGTCCAGAAAGAAACTCCCAAGATTCCATAAAGGATAAACCGAGGGGCTTTGCTTTTAATTGAAGGTAGAGGACGGAGTTTTATCTCCGAAGGATTTTTCTTTAATGTCGTGGTCACAGTTGAAGAACGTAAAGGGTAATAATCATTTAGAAATGGTCGCGTAGATCTTCTATAAGCAGTCGGGATCAGGGGAGTATTGAACCCTGAACTTAAGCGAGGGTAAACTGTCGTGAATTTCGTAATTCGCATTTCGAAAATCAGATGACGTATACTACTTACCCACACACAGTACATACATTTGTGGGCATCGCGTGGCTTCATGCCCAACTTGGGAACCTTGTCATTTGCACAATCATCACGAAATTTTAATTTTTATCACATTCATCATAAATGTCACGTGTAAATCAATAAAAAAATCTATGGTACAAAGTACACAAGGTTGGCTTTGACTCTCTCTCTACCAGCTAAAAGTTTTCGAACTAAAGCCTTTATACCAAACTTTTTGACACTATCTTTATTACAACACTGGTAGGTCAAAGCTCTTTTGTATCAACACATAAACCATACGCTTTTCAACATACTCTACGGTTTTGATAATGGCTTTTGCAAAAAATTTTTTGCCAGACTCTATGCCTGCCAACAGTAACATCGTTAAGGCGATCAATAATCCAAATCGGTTTGGCCCACAAACAGGAGGAGGTCTGATGAATATGTCGGGTATGAGTGGTGAGCCGTCAATTCCTTGAATTTCTCAAGTTCATGTTCATGTTCTTCCCTTTTATCATGATACTCAACCAATTTTTTTTTTTTTTTTGGTCGACCACGACAGTCGTAAATCCAACTCAACAGGTCAATCGCCGGGG